TTAGTTCATACCCTATGATATATGGCTAAATGTAGGCCATGAGAGGATACTAGAAACCTGAAGAAATCGACCATGGTAACCTCACGTCCAACTTAGTCATCCTTCAGGAAATCCAGTTCTCTGGCATGGACGTTTAGATCGATGTGTACCCTCACACCTTGCCAGTTTACCCATATCCGAGCAGTTCCCACTCTAACACAGGGCCCCTCCCGAACCCAAGGGGCCCATGTTCATTCTGAGGAAGTACGTTTTCTAGGAGCTTGTCTTAACCATCTGTCACGGATGTCTCACAACATCTCCACCATTGGACTCTACATAGAAAGTTCCCGATACGAATGAAAAGCTCACAAATACATTAAAAAAAAAAAGATAAATAATTTGAAGTCAGAGGACTAAGACCAGTCTTCGGGCTCGTTTGATGCTGTCTAAGTTCAACTTTTCATATGCATTTAAAATTGTTACCAGCAATCAGATAAAACTGCTATACCTCAAATGAATTCCCTTTATTCTTTAATGTCAAAATACTACGCAGTCGTGAACAATTCTGTGTGTATTCAGGGCGGAGTGCAAAATTTTATGTAAATCCCCTTAACGACCTTTTCAGGGTGCTGACAATCGCCATACAAAGGTGACTGGCAGGCGACACTGGTGCGCATTTATCCTTTTGCCCCGGCCCGTCTCTCTCTTTAGCGCCCCCTACTGTGAGAGGCGTGGGGTAGGGTGCCCAGTGGGACTTGCTGCCAATGGAGGAAGCCAGCATGGACCCTCTCATGGCAACGATACAGGTCGTTGTAATAATGTTCGGTTTGTTTCCTGCTTCACACCACCTTTGGGATTTTGCCCGCCCTATAATCCAGTACATGGGACGCAGAGGGAGGCATCCCATGCTTGTCCATCCGAGTTCCAGCCTTGCTTAACCCAAACCGACTCCTTTGTATAGCTCACACTGCAGTCCATTGGTTGTCCCAGGGCCGTTTCATAATGTGCATCTATTATTGCCATTATGATTGCTGAACCCCCAAAACACAAACCCCTAATTTAAAAAAAAGTTGGTAAAACATAGTGTAAGTGGTTAAAACTAGCAGAGAAGTTATTTCTAAAGCATTAAAACCTCAGCATTGATGCATTCTTTTTCTATGTCACTGTCTCACACTTACACACACACAAGCTTTCCCAAGCCCCTTACTGTGCGTTTTTATTCTTACTAAGCCTTGTCTCAGAGGGGAGTCAGGCCCCTACTGAGACCTTACCCACTTCCTACTGCAAAGCCTGTTTTGCCCCTTGGCAGCCCTCTTCTATTCACAACTTGCTCTAAGACTCATGAACCCTAAATATACATTGCGTTTTGCCATAAATGACTCAGGTAATTTGAAATTACATCACATTTGATGGTTTAGTTCCCATTTTTTTTACTGCTGCTACACACACGTGACATGTTCTGTTCCAGAGAGACCTACTTGGACCGCTTGAGTTTTACTGTTGATGTACCCCCACGAGGCTGTGGCCCCCCAGGTGGGCATCTGGGGATTGACATTTACCAAGAATAAAGAGAAAATCTGAGAAAAAAAAATAAATCCAAAAAAAAAAAAAAAAGGAGTGTACATGTGCGCCTGCGTGAGCGAGTTTTTGTATGTGTGGGACATCGTTGTTAGGCGTGTACACCAGCGGTGCCATCAAAATTTGTTTGCGTTTGTGTGTTTGTGTGTGTGCTTTCAGATGGGTGCTGTGCGATATATACACCCCCCTACTGTCCTTTTTCTAGTCGTCTGTCCACACATCACAACTGTCAGGATCTAGTGAGATATGAAGACGAAAAGAAGGAAGAGAGCCCCTCAAATGGATATTACCGCTGGGTTAGCCTATGGAGAAAAGTGGATTTAGTGGGACCTCATGGATCCAAACTGTACATGGTACGTGAATAATTTGGTGATATCAACCCAGTAAAGGTGTTTTATTTTTCACTGAAATCTCCATATATAGAGGTTTTAAAGTAATAATACTGTATTGCTTTTTAATATATATATATATATTTTAATTTGTCAGAGCTAAAAAATGCTCATTTAAGAAGAAAATATACTGTAAATATTTTAAGACAACTGTTTTAGTAGTTTTTACTTTTTATGCATGTGAGGTCTACTTTTGTCTTTGAATTTTCTTTTTAGCTTGTTTTCAGGAAATGTGACCAAACAGTGCACAGCTTTTAATGGGTTTTATTATTTTTCATTGTTCGTTTGCTGTGATTTGTTGGTTTGCACCAGTCCAGCTGTTACCACTGGAACCTAAAAGGACTATCATTTATAAAATATATTCAACCACCCAGCTGGAAAACTTATTGGATTTGATTGATCATCTATAGTGGTCCTTTAACAACCCTACTTATACCAGCTGTAGGTTTGAACAGCCTGTACTGGTGATATTTAATGGTCAAACAGGCACAATGTGAGCACGACAACATACAAAATGTTCTCTCATTTCTAAAAGAAAACTTTTAATTTGAAGTAAACTAAAAACAATCTGATGTTAGAAATACCCTCCCAGACAGCTAATTTTAACTTTAATTGTAAATTTGTTTTATTTGCTTTCATTATTAAAGTGAAATATTTGTGCCTGATAGTGGTATTTTACCTGCGCATTAATTCATATTCAAGTTATTGTTAAATAATGAATTTGAACCCAAAGTCCAGACTCTAAGATCAAATTTCAGGGTTTTTTTTTTACTCCAAATTTGGGAAATAATGTGGGATTAAAAATATAAAATAACCCTAAAGTTGGACAAATGACTCAAATCTCATTTTATGGATTATTTTATTATTTTCTTTTTCTTTTTGAATTTGTATTTGCTGTTGCTGTGAATCCTAAAGATTTCAGTGCAAGTCAAGCTCACTTTACTGAGGCAGCACAAACCAAACAAATCCATCATGACATCAGTGGAGGTCAGATCAACAAGTTGTCAACAAAAATGAATTTTGTGCTACAAATAAGCATTTACTTTTATGTGACATTATGCAATTTCAGCTGAAAGTTTATGAGATGCATTTAAAAAAACAAACTGATCCGAATGGAAGAAGCAGGTAAAGACAGAGGATGGATGGATGGATGGATGGATGGATGGATGGATGGATGGATGGATGGATGGATGGTCATGTCTGAGTCCAGGCTGGCTCTGACTTTAGTTTTTCAAAAGTGTCATTTTGTTCACAGTTTTATTTTCACAGCTACATCTTGAGCTGATTTTCAAACTCATCTCCCAGTTCAGATGTAAATATAAGTTTAAAGATAAATTATATTTATTAATTTTAAAAAACTGGAATAGATTTCAAGTAAATGGCAAAAAAACAACAACCCTGTCATAAATTATAGTCTGATCTAAATAAAACAATACAATAATGCATTTGGTCACATTGTGCTCTGTTTCGCTCTTCTTTAACAGATTTTTGCATGTTGACAATGTCTTCAAACTAAAAGAAAGAAGGCAGCATTATTTTGTTTTTATTCAATAGCAAGCGTAATAAAACATTTTTCAACTGCAATAGCAAAATGATACCCAAACTGAATAGACAGCACCACTTTGCAGAAGAGGGTACAATGATCAAGAAAGTAAATATTTGCTGCAATAATTGCCTTTAACACATTGGAGGAAAAAAAAAAAGGCATTTACTGAAAGCAATTTTGCTGCCATTCAATGAGGCGAAACCACAAATTATGGTTGAAGAGTGAGGCGGCATTATGAGGTTTCACTGTGTGGTCCTCCAGCCTCCTGCTGTTCTCCTCTGTGGCCTTCTCCCCTTCTGCTGCCCCCTCTGCTGGGGTTAGCAGGCATAGTTGACCCTGGTTAAAATTCAACTTTCCCTACAATAACAGGGTTAGACGGTTCCTTAATGGCTTCGTTGTGCCTGAGGTGGTGGGCGAATTTGAAATGTTTGAAAATAAATATCTCAAAGGACCTAACTAATCTAAGTATTGAAAATGATGGTGTAGATCATCAGGCTGCATTAAGGTATTGTGTATATTTAAACTGCTATGAAGTTCAAACATTTTAAAATTGGTTAATCAAAACGGGAATGGCTAAAAAGAAAAAAATTGCATTAAAAATTATGCTTCTGTTAATACGTTATTGACAGCAGCACAATACTAGGACAGACTCATACTGTGTATTCCTTCCTTTAACATTAATTAGTACATACATTTTATATATATATATATATATATATATATATATATACACACACACACACACACACACACACACATGTTATCAAAGATTCTGATTTTTTTTTACTGTGTGGTAAAAGCCATCTTTATGATTATTATTATTATTATTATTATTATTATTAATAATAATAATAATAATAATAATAATAAACTTATAAAACAGTTTTATACTTTGTCTCAACTCCTCTGAAATTAATTCAGGCCCAGAGAGGGTAGCAGCATGCACGTTCAATGATCATAATTTTATGCTGTCCTTTTACATCAGTAACATAAAACTGTTAAACTAATTTACTGTTTATGCCTAAATTGTTAAAGGGTACATTTTTTAATTTCAATAAAATAAAGAAAGAAAGAAACAAATGCTTTTCAGGCAGTATATATATCAAAATATATATATTTATTTTAGTGTAGATTTTTACTAAATTGATGTTGAAATTCTAATCATTCCCTTCTAAATGTCGTCATAAGTTGTATAGTTTGTTTTGTTAATTATGCCATTTCTTAGCAGTTATTTGTAGAGGATGCTAATGGTGAAAAGTGAGAAATGAAAAAAGGTGACTGGTGGAATGCAACTGTCTATTTGACAAATGTCAATGTTTTGCCAGGGGAATGGTTATTTATGTATTGATAAGGTGATCAGAGTTGCTCGCTTTATCTGTCCGTGGTCGTAATGTTATGGCTAACCAATGGAAAACGCAAAGCAGTCGGTGATGCTATTAAAGGAGGATGTAGTTCTCCACTTGACCATAGGGGGCGACACCTCGCCGTCTGACGCTCCCGGAAGTTAGCTGAAAACTCTGACGTGTCAAATTGTAGCCATTTTCCTGTAAAGGAGGAAACGCCTTGAGGAAAGAAAACGCTCAACGACTAAGTAGGGAGACTAATTTATTCAAGTAAGTAGAGCCTTTTTGCAATTTGCTTTAAGAGACTATTCGTACAAAAATTATATGTATTCAAGATGAATAGCTGACTGCGTGGCTGCGATTATTTCAGAGAACAAACGGCAAAAAAAAAAAAAAAAAAATTATCGAACGATGCTGTCCTAGTATGTTTTATTTATACCACTTTTTGAGTTCATATGAGAGTTAGCAGTTCGAGTTAACGTATTTTAAAAAATGTGTCAATCATATTCAATTATAACTTGTTTAAAATGTAATGTATTCGTAGCATTGCACAATGCTAAGCTAACGTCGGTGTTTGTTTACGTAGTTGAGTTGGGCAACTTTTAGCTCTACTTCCAGGAGCTGAACTGGTCCATCGGCGAAACTTGAGTTCTTAGAAAAAAACTGTACAAAATGTTCTTCAGGAAGCAATTTATACTGTAAATATGTAATGATTTGTATCCAGTAGCTTCCATGTTATACGAGTGTTAGCTGCAGATAGTGCTACTTTTGGAACAACCGTACCCTTCTAACATGGAATTAAATTTCTTTGTGTGCTTAAGACCAAAAAAATATGAATCCATATCAGTATTGATTTATGGTGATGCATATATTGGCATTGGTGAAACATCTCTTGTGAAAAAACAGATGGGTATAACTAAATATTAAATAAATTGAATGTTTCAGTTAATGAAAAAAACAACTTTTTCAGGAGAGAATTTGAACAGTTTGTCTTCAGCATTTAGAAGCAGCAACTTGTAAACAATTATAGGTGTGATTATAATGGCAAAATAATTTTTTAGGGGGGGTTACAAAAGTTTGCAATAGTCAGTAGCAGTAATAGAACAGAGTGCAAAACATTTTAAGGACCCTCCTAGCACCCCAAGGGGTAAAAATGCTTACATAGCTTGTACATGTTGGTAAAATAAATACATAAAACTACAGTATATGGGGAACTAGTACTGGTAATTACTTCACATTGGCTTTGATTAGTACCATTTCATATCTAGTCAAGTTAATATGCAGGGCAATAAAATATAATAAGACCATGCTTGGTAGTGAAAAGGTTGTCTTTGTTTTGACAAAATGTTCATTCTGTTTGTGCAGGAACAACATTGTGTTCTTTATTGTAGCTTCCCTATAACCACTGATCCAGTTGAACTAAGATTTAGCATACTGGTCTCTTTACTAAACAGGTCTCTCTTGTAGAGTTCTCTAGGCTAAATAGAGACTAACATGTAGAGATAAAGGTTGAATGAAAAAAATAGCAATAAGACTTATTTGATGTTCACTACATTTCTTTTTGTGTTTCTCCACAGAATATTTTGAGGGGCTACACTTTATTTTTTTAGTTTATTTACTTTTTGGACGAAAGTGGTTTCCCCATCTTGCGCCGTCATGGGGAATATGTTTGCAGGACTCTTTAAAATGTTTGGGAAGAAGGAGATGAGGATACTCATGGTGGGTTTGGATGCTGCAGGAAAGACAACTATTTTGTACAAACTTAAACTTGGAGAGATTGTGACGACCATCCCCACAATAGGTGAGCCAAACGTTGTGTTTACCATATCGCATGACAGGAAAACAACTTGCATGCGGTGTTGTGCATTCTTACAAAAATATATATTTGTTTTCTCCTTCAGGTTTCAATGTAGAGACTGTAGAGTACAAGAACATCAGTTTTACAGTTTGGGACGTTGGTGGTCAAGATAAAATCCGACCACTGTGGCGTCATTATTTCCAGAACACACAAGGTTTTTTTTTTTTTTTTAATAGTCTCTTTTTTTGTTTAAAAATATAATAATACTAATACTGGTTTATTTATTTCTATATAGGTCTCATCTTTGTTGTGGATAGTAATGACAGAGAGAGATGTGCCGAGGCCCGAGAAGAGCTCGTAAGAATGTTGGCTGAGGACGAGCTCCGTGATGCTGTGCTTTTAGTGTTTGCTAACAAACAGGCAAGTATTGGAAGCCTTAAAAAACGAGCAAGTTTTGAGGGATATTTTTTTTTCGTTGGCTGGCTCTATGCACCACATGGTGGGGTTCTAATGTTTTCTCACCGATTTCTTTCTAGGACCTCCCTAATGCCATGAATGCTGCAGAACTCACAGACAAACTTCAGCTTCACTCGCTGCGTAGCAGGAACTGGTACATCCAGGCAACCTGTGCCACCACTGGAGACGGTCTCTATGAAGGACTTGATTGGTTATCTAATCAGCTCAAGAACCATTAACGATCACAAAACCTTGGAAGTTGATCTTTTCAGATGAAAAATAAGTTCCTCTATGGTAACAATCTTTAAGTTTGATACACAGGCCTGTGGTGGGGCTGATCTAATCATGTAAAGCTTATTATGCTTTTATTTTATTTCCCTGTAAATAAATTTTGGGTGTAGGGGAACTTATTTTACTCTTTAAAGTCGTGGTGGTTCTCTTACTGGCTTGGGTGACTTTTGATTAATAATAATAATAAAAAGGGGGAGAAAATTGTTTTTTTTACAGCACACTTTGACCTCAGAAGCTCAATGCAGTCATATAATTTTTCTGGTTGTGCACTGTAGGGAGTGATCAACGAGGGGCTTCTTAAACTATACTGACTTATCTATTGATGCACTACTTGTAGCTTTTATAACTTGTTCCTGACTACATGCAAGAACTGTGAAATTACCATCTGGTACAATATTTACTGTTTGTACTGACATCACTCCAGTTGTGAATACTTATCAGCTTTTGTTTCAAAATATGTTGTTAATAAAAATGCTGCAGGGATTGCACATTTTCCTGTTCTGTTACAAAGGAACAGGAAGTTAAGTCATCTCTGCCGCTTAATTGGATTTGATTTTTGCATGTTCAGGAGTCTGGTTGGCCTTTTGGAATACACATATCTGTGTTTACATCAGTAGGCAAAATAAACTACTTACCCCACTGAGTATTTATTTCTGTAACTCTACTGTTTAATTTTATGAGCAGTAACGAGTTATTAAAGGCACTTATTTTTTTAATTTGAGCTCAGCCTGGGAAATCTTGTCTAAGCAAGACCAAAAATCAATTACACTTTGCAAAGTGCTGTTAAGTTTGCTGCAAACAAAAGGCCAAATGCCTTTTTTTTTTTTTAGTTCAGGACACATTGCCTCTACTTTTTTCTAGAAATATCTAAAGATTGCCGGTTTGTCTTTATGTTTGCATGTTCATTCCTTGAGTTGTTCAACATTTTGATTTTGAGCTTTTGTTTGTGTGAGGTGGAAATCACTGCCAATAAAAAAAAAAATTACAAAGATTTTGGACTTGAATTTTATTTTTATCTGCTTTAAAGCTGAATTCAAATGTTATTCCTTTCCATTTTAAAACAGAATCTCCAAAATCAACCTAATGCACAACAAGCCTTCATAAAATGTCTTAAGTAGGGGAAAAGTGCCACCAACCTCTTGAGTCATCTAATGACGAAGAAATATGATGCCCCTAGGTGATGAAACTACCCTGCACTGAGGTTAAAGCAGTTATGTGAAGAGCACATCCTGCTTCACTTTGTCAGGGTGGCAATCTAAAGAAAGCATTCTTGCAGGTTGATTAGGCTGCCATGGTAAATGCAGTCGAGTCTATAAAGCATGGCAGGGGAGTATATGGTCATGGTGGAAGGCATAGTAGTTTGAGCCTCGGGTCCTTCATAGGGTGGCTTTGTCTGGCGTCCACTCCTGCTGCTTCATCAGCTCGGTTTGTGTGTGGTGGTCTAACAGTACTCAGCCTTATTAAAAGGACCAGTCTGTTTTTTTGCACTTTTTTTTATGCCTTGCTCTTTTCTTTTTTTAACTGCAGTCTCCAGGTGCCGTTCTGCTAAATCCCTTACTTCAGACCAATTCAAGGCAAATGCAAACACTATATTAACAACCAAGAGGGATCATTTCAGGGGCGTAACACCAGTCAGGGACCTGGTTTAAGAATGCCAGGATCAATGAGGGACGTGAAAAGAAAATGACCACCGTTACCGAGTTGTCCAAGCAATGCAGGGGGGTGGAGGATATGTTCAAGGGCAAAAACAAAAATGCATCAAAACAGCATTTTTGTGGGTTTTCAAAACAATTAAAGGAAAATTCAAAGCAACTGAAAAGGCATGAAAATGTCAAAACTCTCCAAATAAATGTCCTGATTGCAACAACAGTTGTGTTAGTATAAAAGTTTTGAGCTCAGTAAAAACCACAAGAGCTCGGGCTGATGACTGGGAAAAAAAAAAAAAAGATAATTCTTCAGCTTCCAAATTATGTTTAATACAATAAAAAACGTTGTTTCTAACCATGTGATGCTTAACAGCTTCAAAAGCTGGTCATATACAACCCCCCCAAAAATACACCTGCGTCACCACCACCACCTCATGGCCAGCGTATTGAGAGAATTAGTTAATACAAAAGGCTCAAACGTATTGCACTAACTAGTTTCCATCCTGTCTGGAGTACCGGAGGCCCTCGTGGCCAGTCAAGCTGCTGTGGAGTGCTCTGTCTGCATTATGTGTCTTTGATTGGATGGGGGAGCAGGACATTTAGTCGTCCGAGTCTGTGTCGTGGCGCCGCCTGTGGCTTTGTGTGGCACCAGCAGGGGCCTTCTTGTGGATGGCAGGGTTGCTGCGGGCAGGGGACCCCCCGTCAGAGGAGTCTGTGTCACGCCGCTGATGTCGATGATGGGGGTGGGAAGGCTGTCGCTCGTTCTTTTCTCCCCCCCTTGAATGGCTGTCATGGGGTCTGGCTCCACTCTGACTATGGTATGATGGATTATGATGATGGTGGTCCTTTTTGTGTCTGAAAAGTAAAAGGAAACAAACACTCAGTGAGTGAGGGGGGCGGTGGGGCTTTGATAAGTTGGGAGTGAGGCTGGGGAGGGAGTGGCTACATGAACTTTTATGGTAAAAATCCACAAAAAATGCTGATATGAACCTAACATCATTTGAGGGGGAAAGATACTTTAAAAACGACATTAATGAACACATTCAACCATCATACCCCCACACACACACTCAAACTAATTCATTATAAATTATAATTAATCTAACACTGCCTCTAAATATCTCAAATCTTTCATTCTGTGAAACATGTACACCACACACAGATAATTGAAGCAAGTCACAACTAAAGATGTAAAACGGTGTCTAAGCGCCCTCTAGTGGAGATTCAGTATTTTGCATCAAGTGTCCAGGGTTAGTGTTGCTGTGAAAGTAATTATAGAAAACATGCATTATAGTTTCATAATGCACCTTTAAATAAGACACTACAGGAAACGCAGTGCAAATTATAATTCCTGCATCCTAGTAAAATAAACTATGTGCTAAAGCTAAAAACTTAACTTTAAATTGAGAGTGCAACTTAAGGCAGAAAATAAGTTTTGTATACTGTACTTTGTCGATAATCCTTTGAATGTAATAAATTACTAAAATGTGAAAACACTGCACGTAATCAAGTAACGTGTTTTTTTGTTGTTGTTTTACTTTATCAAGTTGATACTACAGTTGTCTTAATGTTCTTGATTGTGTGTATTTCTGTTGCTTGAGTTTGTGCTGCCCAAATATGCTAATAAATAAATAAAACCTGCTAAAAAAAAAATCCCGAGTTTCTTTCTCAATCATTATTTTTCCTGTAATGTACAGGCATTAGCAGTTCTTGTGTACTCGCCTTTCTTCTTCAACGGTCCGTAACATCATCACTAAACATAAATGAACTCGTACTATTAAAAGCCACGTCCGTGTGAATCCACTGCCTTTGAATGTTTTCACAAGTAAAGTGTGGCTCATCAAATGAAACCAACTGTTGGCATTATTCAGGCTGATCAGTTTCCTAACACCAAAGTTTGCTGTAACTTGAATTTCTAAACCTCTTTAATATAAATTCAGCACTTTAACATTTATATAAACAAACAAAAAAGGAGTTGTAAACAACAATGGGTATCGTATAATCATACATTTTTTTAATGAACACATCGACCAACCTCTTCCTGTTATCATCCGAGTCTGATGAGGACGAATCTCTTCTTTGCCTTTTCTTCTTCTTTTCTTTCTTCTTCTCCTTCTTGCTCTTTTTGTCCTTCTTTTTCTTTTTGCTCTCAGGCCTGCTGAGAAACGGCATCATATTTTATCTAGAGAAGTTTAACTTATATTTTTTTAGTCACATATTATTAAATGCTGCATTCTTACTTTTGTTCCAGCTCTTGTTTTGCAGCACTCGGAGATGTTTTTGCTGCTGATGTTTCTGGACGACCTTCAGTCTTGTGATGCTGCACAGAAAGCATGGATTTAATTACTGCAGTATCTGTAAATCACATGAAACAAATTGTCTCGAGTATCTAAAAGAGTTGACCCCACTTTTACACGGCTTTCTTGATTTGATCAACTACACGTGACAGTAAACAGTCAAAAGTCAATCATTTCCCTCAGCACTGATCATATTAAATCTGCATTTAACAAATGAAAAAGCAGCTGAACTTACTGTAAAAACTGGTAGGCCCATCTTAGCCGCCTCCTTTTCTTTTTGGGTCAGCACCAGTTTTCGTGACCCAGCGCTTGACAGAAACCAACACTTTATTTGGGGTTCATTACTTTATAATGCAGTGTTAATAAAGCGAATAATTCTCAGAGCATAATAAAGTGCACTAAAATAAAATCACCTGGAGCTTCCTAAACCTGATATACGATCCACGTTCCTCTCCTCGCCGTCAGCCTCTTCCCTCCTGCAAACCTCTACCAGGTCCTGACAAAATAAAATTCAAACCATTTAAGCCTTTTAGCAGTACAAAATTATTTTAAAATGCTCACCAGCTAAGTCCCATACTTCTTTAGTAAGGCCAGTTGGCTGTCTCTTTATATTCTTGTGCCCTCTACATAAAAAAAAAAAAAAAAACATTAATAAAGCGAGTACTTTTATGTTTTAAACGTGCAGTGTTACAGAAATGTATTTCACAGTAAGTTATACATACAGGGCAGCCATCAACGCCTCCTCTTCCGCTGCTCTCACAGCAGCAAGTTCGTCCTCCTTGGACAAAGTTTTGCCAGTTTTTTTGTCTTTTGAATACCACGTTAAATCTTTGCCCTTCTGCCACCGACCTACTGGTGCCATCAAGGAGTTTCCTGGGGAAAATACAATGGAGCAAGTGAGGCTTGGTGGATGTTGATGTTAAAAAGTTATAAAGAAAGTGGTTTTCTCAAAAGTAAAATACATATTTCCTTTTATCGCTATATCTACAAAACTATGACTTCTTCTGGACCTTTACATTTGTGTTTCAGCGTTTCATATGTGATACGTCATGTGATAGAACCATATACAGTAGTCCCTCGCTACTTCACGTACTCGCTCTATCGAGATTTTTCAAAGTAAGATTAGACATGACACACAATTGGCTGACTGATGGATGAGCCGCGCGATCGGCACTGATTTTTTAAATTTATTTAAAATGCATTTTAAATGATTTAGCACCTGTGTGCAGCCCACAGCTGTGAGAGAAGCTTCCTCCTGCAGCTGATCAGCTGATCTCCACTCTGCACGGAGAAGTGGGCGTGGCCAAGAGCGCTGGTAGGTGGAGAACAGCGGCGGTAGGGAGCTGAAATCATGATATTCTGTGCTCTTTTAGAGCGTTTAGTTTAGAAACATTGTTTAGAATATTGCAAGACTGTGGGAAGGGTTTAAAACGCCTTTACTACTTACTACTTGTACTACTATTCCTACTTCGTGGTTTTTCACTTATGGTGGGGCTTCAGGGTACAGATCCCCCTCTATAAGTGAGGGACTACTGTACTTTCTTGTAAACAAGTACAGGTTTTATACCATCATAATCATCCAGCATTTTAATCTTTGTGCCAATATGAAACGTTTTATTTTACATACAAAGCAACAGCTGGGAAATTTTGTACAATTTTACTTCTATAAGATTTTTTTTTTCCTGACGTATGACGAGAAAATCCCAAAAGCACTGCGTTGAATTTTGCAACATTTTGGTTACTTTTAATTAAGATTTTTAAAAAATTTATTATTTAAAGCATAAAATTTAAATCACAAACAAATACACCAAATACAAACCGTCATGAAGTTCTAGTTACATAAACAATAAAAAAAAATCAATGTGTGCAACTTCACACTTTCTATCTTTATTGGCACGTTACTCAAAATAAAGCCAAAAATCTGCAATTAAATGGTGAACGATAAAAAAAACAAACATTATTTTTCATCATTTACATCCCGTTTATCCCAAGTAGTGTGCATGAGCAAAATTAATTAAGCTTTAATTGAGTCAGGCTTGATCCAGGATATTTGTATTTCTTCTCTGGCAAATTAGTGCATAATTTAATGTTTGATTTGCAAAGTTAAAACATGAACATTGTACAGTAGCTATTGGACATAATCTTATGGAAAGAGCTGCATTTAATACAAGTCTGTTAACTAAACTATCTGCAACAGCACAAAGTCATATTTTTAGTAGTACGGGTTATACAAGATATGGCAGTATCCTCTCTTAAAAGCAAATGAATAATGAAATTCTGCTTTTATACATAGTGCCGAAAATGTTACCCCAGGATACTCTCCAAATGATTGAGTAACGTTACTTTGTTAGTCTTTTCATGTCACATCTGTGCTGACTGAGCTCATGTTGCTGCTGTGACTGGCCGCGGTCAGGACACGGAGGGGCTGCGTGTTTCTGCTCAGACGTGGAAATGAAAGTAGAAACCTGCTCTGTGTAGACTTATAGTACATCATCACATCCACCCAGACTCTGTGTAATGAGGGACTCGAAAACAAAAGGTATGAAACAGCTGCAAGTGGAGCTAAAGAGCACACACTCTGCCATCTTCACTATCTTGCTGTAGCGTGCTAGCGGGCCCTCTCTGGTTAGCGCTGATAGCGGCGAGTTCTTGTACTTACCGAGATAATTTTCTCTGTGTTTATCGACTTTCACGTCATCCCAGTTAAACTGGTCCTGTCCCCCTCGTATGCCTCCGGATCTCGACGACCCAAACATCTCGTTGCTGTTGTTGATTATCAGGAAATTTTGAGAGAAAAGTAGTCCACGCGCTTAGCGTCTGGAGCTAACTTTAGCCGCAGGAGCTGCGTGATTGGTCCGTCAGGCCTTTAGCTCATCCGGGGAGTTTTACGGTGAGTTACACTTCCTTGTATTGAAGAGAGCGACGTGTTTACAAGTGTGGGTACTGTATTCACTTTGGAAAACGGACGTTAATTCCGACGGCTATTTTTTTTTTAGAAATAGAGAAAAAGACGCAGCTTCCGTTACAAAGTAGACTTTTATGTAGTTAGCCTAAAATGACCTAAGTCAAGCGCCTCGCTGTGCTTAGTTGTATGTGTGCAAAAAGCCGAAGCTTGCACATAGTTATATATATAATAAAATACTAGTTTTTATTCAATATTTTTTTGTGGTTAAGGCTAATAAAACGCTCCGTTTCTTTGTTTTGTCGCGCGCTTTCTCTCGTGATGTTCGGGCGCTTAGTGATGACGCAAGCAGCGCAGTCCGCTCTAATGGCTCTCACAGTAAAAGCACAGGCCACTGGAGGGAGGAAATCCCTGGAAGACGGGCTCAGAGGCTAGGATAAAATCTATCTCCTCATGTACCTGAGACATTTTACGAGGCTATTTACAGGTAGGAATGTGGATGATTGTGTTTTTTTCCCCCCCTTAAAATATCTAGGATTTCTTGGTTGCACGCGGGCGTGTGAGTCTGCCATCATATCTGGAGTCAGCTTGCTTTGTTGCAGAAGATGGAGTTTAGTTATGTTGTTCTGGCGTGCAATTCAAGCAAGATGGATTGCTGTTGGAGGATGCCACCTTACAATACATAGACTTTTGAGCAAGTGGTCTCTATTTCTTTGGTAAAAAAAATGTTTTCATGTCACTGCCAGCACATGTGACATAACCCTGTAAATACATTGGAAGTTTTTATTGCACACTAATCAACTCACTTGAACATAATCTAAAGTTTCTAATACCACACATTTAATATTTCATTCAACCAGTTACTAAATGGGTATTTTACATTCAAAAAGACATGTCATCAGCAATCTGTGCATTGTTTTCTTTCGCACTTCATGTAATTGAGCATTTTCAAGTGAATCCATAGCACGTTAACGATCTTCTCTATGAGTCAAAGTGCATTTGGCAATACAACAGCGAGATGCTTCAATCTGGTAGATATTTCTGCCATAGTAACGTAGAGCACGGTGACACTTTTTGGCATTCAAAAATGGTAATAAGCAGTTCATTCAGATTTGAAACATAAAAGAAGCGATCACACTTTTAGGCTGTAAAAATATAAAAGCAGGTTGAACATTTGCCTTCATATCCCTCTGATTGTCAATGTTTAGGTGTAGCCTGGATTAACAACAGTGCTGTTTCGATTTGGCATATTATGCAATGTCTAGATCGGCATCAAAAATAATTTACACTCTGTTTAACCTGCACCGTATAAGTAGGAAATTCTGACTGAAAAGACTGAGGTAAAAAGACCCAAAGCTCAAATTTATTAGTGTGATAATTTTAAGGAGATAAGCCAGATGTGCATGTGGAAAAGCCTCACATCTGCATTTTTGTTAAGCGTTGTTGCAGCTTTAAACTGACTTCTGAAACCTATTGGGATTCACATGCTTTAAATCTTGCTTTAGGCAAATACCAGTCACATGAGACGAAGCACGTGTTTAAAGTCGGACTCTGCAGCTTCCGCCAAGTGTCAGTCTGTACCGATTGTCTCACGTGGCTTTAATTTCCCATCTTTATGAGGAAAAGTGAATTCTTGTCTCAGTGCTGGAGCAAGATTTTTTACTAAGAAAAAAAGTTTATTTTTGATCAGGTTTCTACGTGCAGGGATGTGGGTTTATCAACATCCACTGTTTGTTTGTTACCTTAAAAACTCCCAGTGGTTGGACTGAAGCCGTGGCCCTGCCCTCCCCTCCCTTCTGCTTGTAGGCACAGCCAAACCCTCACTCTTCATTTGATTTCCTCACCTGCTTAAAGTCGGTGTGTTTTTTTAAAAAGAGGTAAGAAGGAACGTGACGGTTGATGTTTTTATTCCTTCCTGGAGGTTCCTGATCTTCTTTGGCAGTGGTTCAGATGTTCCATTACTGGGTGATAGGAACAAAATGGTTTAGCCTAATCATTTTTGGGGCATTACCGGGTGCATAATTTAGTTTGAAGTTGTTTAATTGAATGTGTATTTGTGGTAACAGCAGACTTCATAATTTGACTACTACATTCAGGTGGAGGTGGGGCTTTTTTATTTTTTTATTATTATTTTTTATCTCGGAAGCATCGTAGTACTTTGTTTTGTTAACAGATCAGGCGACTGTCTTTTCTTCTGTGAGAGTTTATCGTCTCGTTCCATCTGAACTCTTGTCTGGAAATAATTATTCCCCCACTTCAGCTTTATTAACGATAAACCTCCACCCCTTTTTCATGGTCTGACTGAAGTCATGTTTGCACCCATGCTAATTTTGCTTCAGTGATGATGACTCACGCAGGATTCCAGTGATGGGTCATGTTTTCCTTATACGCCCATTTTTCTGTCTACCATTACTTCTTCTCTCTTTTCTTCCAGCTATGGCTGGACCCAGGCCTGTGGTGTTCAGCGGCCCATCAGGGGCAGGAAAAAGCACTTTGTTGAAGAAGCTCATGAAAGAATATGAAAATGTCTTTGGCTTCAGCGTGTCCCGTGAGTGTTGCCACAGTCTGTGTCTTAAACATCAAAACATTCAGCTCAGACTAGTTGGGCTTTGGGATTATTTCTGATTTTAATCACTGTTGAATAAAATATGCTTATTCGTCTTTTGGAACCTGGAATGTTTACCTATGTTTTAGTTATTGTTCCAGCTGAAGTAAAAAATATATATTTTTTTTAAATAATATATATATATATATATATATATTTTTTTTCCTTAAATTAAAATAAATCTTTTTTTGATTAAACGGTAATTGGATTTATTGTTTAAAGCGCTCTCCCATCCCTTTTTATCTTTGTGTTTGGAGAATCAAAATTTTCTGTTTTTAAGTTTTGAAAAATTCTTATTGCTGTTATACTAAATGAATGATAAGCTATTTATTTTTTGTCAGCAGTAATGCAGTGGCTCCCAACCCTGGTCCCTGAGGAACACCAACCTGCATGTTTTGGTTGTTTCTCTGCTCCAACGCACCTGATTGAATGAAAGGGTGATTAACAGGCTTCTCCCAACTTAAGGAAGAAATTAAACAACTGAATCAGGTGTTGGAGCAGAGAAACAACTAAGACGTGCAGGATGGTGTTCCTCAAGGACCAGGGTTGGGAATCACTAGGTTAACAAATAGTTGCAGCTCTAGATTAGAACAGACAATCCATGTTTCTTTTCTCAGATACAACTAGAAAACCTCGTCCTGGAGAAGAGAACGGCAAAGGTACAACCTTTACCTCCACTTTCATGGTCACTACAGCATCTCCTTTTTTTGGCTCTTTAATGTATGTTTTTTTTCTTCTTCCTGCGCATCATCTAGATTATCATTACGTTACACGAGAGGCGATGCAGTCAGGCATCAACAACGGCGAGTTCATCGAACACGCAGAGTTTTCAGGGAACATGTACGGGACGAGCAAAGCCGCCGTGCAAGCCGTCCAGGCCAAGAACCTCATCTGTATACTTGACATCGACATGCAGGGTGTGAAGAGCATCAAAAACACCGACCTCAACCCAATTTACATCTCCATTCAGCCGCCGTCTGTGGAAATCCTGGTGAGCGCCGTGTCTACTCTCGCAGTCTGTCGGCGTGGCTCAGAGTTTCTCGCAGAACCCTTGGTTATGTTCTCTGAGTATTTTTGTGGTTTTGTTTCAGGAAAAACGTCTAAGAGACAGAAAAACAGAGTCGGAGGAGAGCCTCCAGAGGCGTTTAAATGCAGCCAAGGTGGATATGGAGTTTAGTAAGTATTTTATGCACAGTCGTTCAAACTTAAACGCTCAGTGGATGTTTAAAGGTGTATAATAATTATATCTCCCCGCAGGTAGAGAACCAGGTGTGTTTGATGTCATTGTTGTAAATGATCATTTGGAGGATGCTTACGGGGCGTTGAAACAAGCTCTTCTTGAGGTGAGTTGCCACCACACAGATGTTAATATACATAGGATAATAATGCATTAATTAGTTAATGTTTTTCCAAAAAGAAAACGAACCTCTCCCTGTTCTGAATGTAACGGTATAGCTGACCTGTTAAGACATAAACAGCAAATTTCTAGCAGCTGTTATTGTCTTTCTTTTCAACACATTAAATTTATTGTTTTCCACTAAAGTTAAATATTCTCTAGTGGATTTTCAGAAATAACGGTGGACTCAGGAATTAAACGAGTCAGCTCTGTTTTGTGGCAGTTTATTAAAAAGGAAATAAAATAAGAACTAATGCTATAGGTTGGTCCATTAAACAGCAGGGTCACAGCCTCAGCAGATCACCGTGTGTCTGCAGAAGCTGAGGCCTCGATAAACAACCAAGAAGTATATATATTTGCTTGATTAACCTCAAAGGAGCCAGATAAAGTGGCCTTATAATTTAGTAGACAAATTAAACATAAACTGTCAGTAGTCCTGAGACGTTTAGATCCACGAGTATGACATGGATCATAATATTATATAATAATCATGTACCAAACCATTATATATTCTTGGAATCAGTAACATAAAACAATATTCTTTGTTGCATTTTGACAGGTTATGTTTCCTTGCCTAACACATCACAGATAGTGAACCCCACACTTCAGTATAAAACAGTTGAATTTTATTACTTCCTACTTGGATCATCAGCTTGTGGGGGAGTTTTGATCCATTTACCGTGAACCTCTTCAGCGTGGCTTTGCAGCAAGCGACTGTTTGCAAGCTGCACAGGGAGCAGGTGCTGAGAAGTGCACCTTTTTAATGCAGGTGTGAAGAAGATAAACAAACTCCCAATTAATTATAAAGGCTCAGCGCGTCACACAAGTCTAATAAACGTAGTCGTTGGCAGTTTGTTTTCCACCCACAGCTTTTGTCGGGGCATGTAAGAACAAGCTCGCAGATGAATGAGTGCTGGTGTCAGTGTTTGAACTGGGACAGTTGATTATCTCAGGTGCAGCTGAGAACGTGAGCATGCATTTCATAATGTAAGGCATCAGTGTCTACAGAGTCAGCAAATTCATTGTGCAACATCAAACTTGTAGTGTTGTGGTTAAAGGTTGATGTTAAAATTACTGTTTAGTTTTGGTATAAAGAAATATTTAGATACAGTTTTATTTTTTAACATGGACATTTACTGCTCATACACAACAGTACTGCAGCTTTGTAGTGCTTTGTTACTTTAAAGTTGCTGTACATGTACATTCACATTATAAAGTTAGCCTGGTATCATTTTCTATACCTGGTGCTTCTATTAAATTCAATTCAGTTTATTTATATAACACCAAGTCACAACAGAAGTTATCTCGGGGCACTGAACAGAAACATTCATATAAAGTAAGTTAACATTATTTATCTGAGGAGCAGACTGCTTTGAGTTTAACTCCATCACAGAACACTCATCTTGAGCAAGCATGAAGGCGACAGTGGAAAGGAAAAACTCCCTCATGGGGAAGAAACCTTTAGCAGAACCAGACTCAGGACAAGCGGCCATCTGCTTCAACCGGTTGGGCTTGAGAGGAACAGGAAGGAGGAACAGATACACAATGGCAGGTCGAGAATCGCATGTTAAGATAGAAATAATATCAAATGAAAACTATTGAATTTTAACAATTCATTTTAGGAAGTGGTCTAAGCCTTTGGCAGCATAACAAGTCAACCCTAACTATAGGATTTATCAAAAAGGAAAGTCTTAATCCCAGTCTTAAAACTGGACAATGGTTCCACAAGAGAGGAGCCTGATAACTGGAAGATCTTCCTCCTATTCTGCTTTTAGAAACTCTAGGAATCGCAAGTAAGCCTACAGTCTGAGAGCGTAGTGCTCTGTTAGGAAAATATGGAACAATAGGATCTGTAATATAAAATGGATCTAGGTTGTTGAGAGCTTTGTAGGTTAGAAGTAAGAGTTTGAATTCAATTCTGGACTTGACAGGGAGCCATTGGAGAGAAGCTAAAACTGGAGACATGTGATCTCTCCCACTAACTCCAGTTAAGACTCTGGCAATAGCATTTTGGATTAAATGAAGACTTTCTAAAGAAGTATTTGGACACCCAGATAACAAACCATTGCAATAGTCCAGTCTAGATGTGACAAATGCATGAACCAGTTTTTCTGCATCATTTTTAGATAAGATGTTTCTAATTTTAGAGATATTACGCAGGGAAGAAGGCGGTTCTAGTAACATTTTTAATGTGGATAAAAGACATGTCCTGATCAAAAATAACACCAAGATTTTTAACATTAGAGCTGGAGGACAGATTAATGCCATCCAAGGAGGGTGAAATACTGAAAAATTTATTCCTAAGATGCTCAGGTCCAAAAACTAAAACCTCAGTCTTGTCAGTAGAAAGCAGAAAATTAAGGGTCATCCAGGTTTTTATGTCTTTAAGACATGTTTGTAGTCAAAGTAGCTGATTGGATTCATTGGGTTTCATGGACAAATAAAACTGTATCATCAGCATAACAATAAAAATGTATCCCATGCTATTTAATAACATTACCTAATGGAAGCATATATAATCGTGTGGGTTATGTGGGTGAAACACCCACACTTGCCCCCACCCTCATTCGCCCCACTCTGGGCCCATGAGCAAGGCCCTTAACCCCCACCATGTGCTCCCTAAAACAGGTCTCTCTTGCAAATGAGTTCTCGTGGCTCAATGAGACAAACCTGGATAAATAAAGGCTAAATGAAAAATGAAAAATATAAGGTAGAGTATTGGTCCAAGCACTGAACCCTGAGGAACTCCATGACTACCGATAACTTTGGTGTATGAAGAAGATTACAAATTGGAATCCATCAGATATGATTGAAGCAGAACTGAACAGGAAACTGGTCCTTTGACTCCAGATTTTTGCATGCCATGAGTAAACATTGTAATGTTCCAGCCTGTTGTCACAAAGATCACCAAAAGTTTCAAACATGTTAATCCTATAGCTGTATGTTTTTCTGATCCAACTGGTTATAATATACCCTTGTATGAAATGTTAAATGTATTTTTTTTCTCTCTTTCTATTCTCTGTTTAGGAAATAACCAAGGTGAAGAAAGTCAGCTCATCTTCGTAGGAGACGGCAGCATCCCACCTTTTTATTCGTCTTATTCAGCCACTCCTCAGAGTCGCAGACCTCTGCTCAAGCCATACATTCCCTTCAGATGGAGATCTGCGAGACTCAACCAGCTCACTTTAGTAAACCTATAAACATATTTTACATCGCGTTTAGAAGTAGTTATTATAGGGGGAACTTTTTTTAACTGCAAGGGCATGTTTTTAGTATATGTATTTTATTTTGACATGTTCAATAAGAATATACTCCAATGATTTTTACTTGAAGTGCGGCTTGCATGGCAGGCAGGTTGTTCTCTGTTGGACGGAGGTCACCGGTCTTAGACGTACTGCTTGCAGCCTTGTCGATTCACCGAGTGGCACAAAAAGGCGTAACAAGACTCATTCCATCATGTGGACAAACTGGTCTTTCAAAGGTAGAAAACAAAGCACATCTATGTTGGTTAGTAGCACCAAACTGTGCATCTCTTTTTATTTTTTGTGCATTTTTTCCTGTGTTGATGGTTAAATAGATTATACCGGAACAGCGAGATGTGCTGGTTACAGTGAGAGTTTAAAACCGAAACTTCGTTTCTGGAAAATGTGAGGATTGTTTACTTTCAGGGGGTACATGCAAACCTATTGGACTTTCCAAACAGTGAAATTATTCCAGTGCTGGGGAATTGTTTTCTTTTAAATATGTTCATGTACTAACTAAATTTATAGTTTAGTTTATTTTTGTATTTTTGTGCTCAAGATTGAATCATATTATAAAGATTTAAGGTTTGCTGAGAAACACAATACATCAGTGTTGATTAGAATATGGCTTTTGTATTTTTAGACGGAGATATTGGACTTTTTATTTTACAGTTGTAAATTTGTACAACTTTTCTATTATGTAACATGTTCACCTTGTAGCTTCACCATGCACTTAAAAGAATCACTGATTAATTAACATTATCCATTTTCTTTCACCTGCTGCTTCTTACTGGGTTGTGGGGGAGCTGGTTCCCATATCCAGCAGTCACTGCAAGAAGTGGAGGACATCCTGGACAGGTCACAAGTCCATCACAGGGACAAATGATACAACCATTCATACTCTCACTGACACCTAGGGACAATTTAGAGTTACAAATTAACTTATTGTGCATATTTTTGGTTTATGGGAGAAAACTGGAGTACTGGAGAAAACACACGCGTGTGCACAAAGAGAGCATTCAAATTCCACCCAGAAAGGCCAGGAATCAAACCTGCGACCATCTCGCTGTGAGGTGACGGCTCTAACAACTGGGCCACGGAGCAGAAATGTACTTCTTGATCAATTACACTGAAACAACTGAACATAGAAGTTCTAAAATAATTAAAAATAACTTTTAACACTTTTATATTTTGTGGTTATGATGATTTTACGATGCGACATTTTGAATGTCAAGTTGGAAGACAAAAGTCGATCAGTGCAGCTGGACAGCAAAGAGTTAACCCTTCACCAAGCTGCTGCAGCACAACAGAAATGTGGGGGTGGCAGAGATCACGACAGGCTGCAGAGGGAGCTTCTCCCTGCACCTGTGGGCTGCACACAGGTGCTATATCATTTAAAATAATTTATATTAAATAAACAATCCATGCCATTCGTGTGGCTCATCCATCAATCAGCCAGTTGTGTGTCACGTCCACTCTTTGAACAACAGCGAAAGAGCGAGTCCGCGAAAGTCGAACCACGAAGTAGCGAGGGACTACTGTATTTGCAAATTTACATTAGGGATTTTTCCTCAACATTTGCACTTTTGTTAATCTTAAAAGGTGAAACCATTGAATTTAAGCAGCTTCTAACATAATTCCTCTAGACTGGTATTACTGTTTATAATTTGTCAGTTTAATACAGCAAAAAATGAACTGTGGAAACCTTTAAGTGGACAAGTTTTTTTTAGACAAGTCCATTGTCTATTGGTAAGTTACATGTTGAACCTTCAATACAAAGGTAAAGCATAACATTGCTTTATAAGGAAATAGAGAAGAAACAGATTATGGTGCGTTTTTGCTGTACATTTATTTAAATCAACACTTTGTTTTGTCCAAAACTACACTTGTACAGTACAAGCTATTACAATCTGTCCGTGCTTTATTAATACATAACATATCCCCTGTTAAAGGCACCTTTCAATACAAACTCCACACATCTTTAAAGGACATTAAACCACTCACTTTGTTCACTGCATTTAAAAGGGCATCGATCCTGTGAGCTCTGGTGCTTTGCACACATTTCTACTTGAATGCAACAGGATAACTGGTTACCCTTTAACACATCTGCTTTAAACAGCACATACATGCAGGCACTCCTAAATATGTCCCCGACACATGAAGACACCCCTGTAAAAGCCTGTGAGTTGCCAGGTAACTGCAGTGCATCAACAGACCCCAAATATCTGAAACGGCTTGGTAAAAATGAAAGGTGGGAACATTGTGTTTTATGTTAACACGTTTTTGTAAAACAGGATGTTCGTAAACCACCTACCAACTGATCTGATTAAAGTGTGATATTTGTTTGACTCGAAAATGAATCATTCAAACACCAACAAAAACTTATTCTATAATCTGTTGATTTTTTTTTTTCACTGCAAACATTAAAGAAAGCCAAATGTGAAGTCAACATCTTAAATAACTGACATTTCTTGTTCCAGCAAATCCAAAGTACAGTAAAATGAAACATTTCTGTATAATACAAAATCAACACTCTAAAATCGTGGCACCAAAATGCATTAAATAACAGCTTGATTGTGAATATACTAGAAGTGTCTCCTAAGGATAATGCCTGGATCAATTAATATAGGTAAGATCACGTTTTAGTAAATATTTATGTGATAAAAACGTCAAACTGTGACTTCTTTAGCATCTTTTCTCACACAGTTCATACCGCATGTAAAGAAGCAGTTAAATCAACAGAATGAGACTGAAACCTGCTTACAGACAAAACTTTGCAGTTTTTAACTTCCCTAGTCTGAAGAAACCCCGCCTCCAACCGGTTTTCCGCTAAATTAGTTTGAGAATTGACGAGTTCCTGATTGGCTGCTCCACAGTGGAATGGTTTGTCAAACGCAGCACGTATCTTAAATCATGTGAGCAGAAATGGATCTATTTAAGACTAAGAATGACATTTTGTTTACTGGTTTTCATAAAGGTTTTCTTTAATTTGTAGAGTGACTGGGTTGCCAACTGATGCGTAACCATAAGTCTGAGTAGAAACTTTGGTTTTAAAGCTTTGCTGCTTGCCCTCATCTCTCTGCACTGCTGAGCAGTATGAAGGCTTCACCTCCACCTTGGCATGGCTCACTCGGATGGGAACTTGCCTCTCCACCCTGGGCCGAGCTTCAGCAGCTTGTGGGAAGGATGATGAGAAAATGTTGTTGGAGAGATGCTCCCTGAAGCGACCGAAGAAGCTGCTCCTCTGCCTTGGTACAATGTCAGGCCGCCCCACATTGAGAAGCACTGGTTGCCCCACTTGGGACCCACCGATCTCTCTCTGGAGAACAGAGATCTCGCAGGGTTTTTCATCTGAGGCACAGCGGACATTAGAGGAGCCGTAAGTCTCTCCTTGCTCTGGGACGTAATCCTCTAAGTCTTCAAGATTTAAAACACGATCTCCTTGTTTCAGTTTCACAGGCTCTTGTCTTTTTAATTGATCGCATTCATCATTTTCGTCATCAGGTTCAAAGATGACTGTTTGTTGATCGTCCTGATCATCATCAATGTTTTCTCCAGCAGATGTAAGGGCGGATGAGAGTTCACATGGTTCTCCAGATGCAGAGCCAGAGGCAACATGATCGTCTTCCTCCCAGGAGAGGGGCTGGCTGATGATCTCCCCCTGCCGATGGGCCTGTGTTTGCTCCACTAGCTTGTTGTTGGAATTGTTAACATTTGGGTTTTCCAAGCTAGACCTCTTGGGTCTTGAAGGGGTGGCAGCACGTTCAGACCCTGAAGGTGAGATGCCTCTTCTCCTCAGCCTGGGAGACTTATTGACCTTGTACTCAATGACCTCTTCTACCTCAACCCACCTGGGCTTGCTCTCCACTGCCCTGGCTCCAGCCCCCTCGGGCTCGGTAACATAAAGCGCTGGGATGGTTGTCTTTCTTGGAGTGGGCATCCTTCTTGGCCTGGCTGCAAGGGGTTCAGGTGTGGAAGTCTCAGAACGGTGGGCACCAACAATAGCCAAGCCAGGGGATCGGTGTCTCCTCAAACGTGGGTTCTTCACCACAGTGGTAATGGTTTCCTCTCTGGAATAAATGAAGGATTGCATGACTAGAGCTACAGACAAAGATGTACAACAATGCTTTGCTGAATGCAGATTTCACACTGATGGTTGTAGATGAACAAATGACTCAGCAATGCAATTAATGGGGAAAAGATGGCTCCCAAATCATCAGATGGGAGTGTCTGACAAAGAACAATAAATAAGCAACCAATTAAGTTTTATAGTCTGCAAGTTGCATACGTTCTGCCCAAGTTCTTAAATTTGTTATTTTGATCAGTTCTTTGCATTTATTAACCTCGACTTTGTTCATTGTGAAATATTTTCTATAGTTTTACCTGATATTACTTCAACCTGAGTTTTTCACTTGAACAGTTAATCTACAACAAAAAAAAAAAAACTTCACCTGAAGCCTTGTATTAAAATATTAAAGTTGTGTGGTGAGAAGCAGTTATGGCACTGTCAGTTTAAAGCAGCACCCGGATGGTAACAGCCCCTCCTTTTATCATCCTTATGATAGAATCCCTTAGTGTTAGAGTGTTAAATAGTACACAATGCATAGACACACACACACACATAGAAAAGTGCTTTAAATTCAGCTCATGTTGGCTTTTAGAAAGAAGTATTACAGTTACATGTAACCTACTACTGCAGAAGAATTGTTCTGAACAAATACACTTTTTAAGCTGATCAGTTTTTTTAAAGCTTAATATTCAAATGGAAGGTCACCTACTCTTGGCACATTATCTAAACAAAGTAAACAAACAGACTTTATGCATAGCATGTTGAAGACCGATCACACTTACATGATGATGGTTTTCTTTGGTAATTTAGTTTCCTGCTCGGTCACTACAACAAAAAATAAACACAATTTAAAACCTTAAAACTTTAGCTTCAAATTTGCATAAAACGTGCATTAAATACAAGCATGAACCTCAAAAAGGAAGAATAAGTGTTGTGCAGAAATTGAAAATAATGACCAGAAACATGGAAGAAAAGAGATAAAAGTTCCTACCTTCAATGGTGATGGCCTGCTCACCAGTGCGAGCCACAGCAGAGGGGAGGACTAAATCAGCAGCACACTTGGCTTTGCCCAGGCGGTTTGACAGCTGGCAACATCAGGGATATATTTTTAGAGTCCTAAATATGACTTTCTGCTGCTAATTGATATTAACTATACTCAAATCAATCTGAAGGTGCAAAAACAATTACAAGGCCACAATCAAATCTACCCTCAGTGACCTACAATGACAAAGGGACTTCAAAAATACATCTAAGATTATTATAGAACTGAAAAGTCCAGACAAACCTCACACTCGTACTGTCCAAGGTCTCTCTCTGTCAGGTTTTTTATAACCAGTACCAGAACCCCACTGCGGAGTTCACTGTAGGTCTGATACTTGCCCTGGTCGGTCAACAGCCTGCCCTCCTTAAACCACCTTGAACACATAGACAAAGATTAATGCTCAAAGTGAATATCCAAAGAAGGAAAGAATCAACATGCTGGTGAAGATTCTCAGTCATCCAGGACATGAGAAATTCAAAAATGTTCAATATAAAAACAACTGCACAGGTCTCTCTTGTAAATGAGTTCTCGAGGCTCAATAGGATTTACCTGTCTAAATAAAGGTTGAATGAATTTGTAACAGAAGACGTTTCGCTCCTCATCCGAGGAGGAATTGAGAAAGCTCCTCGGATGAGGAGCGAAACGTCTTCTGTTACAAATAAAGTCCAGTTGTTTTTGTATTGAACATTTTTGAAAGAATCAACAATTACACATAAGATAGGTGTACCTTATTTTGGGTACAGGGGCACTTTGTATAACGCAAGTGAACTGTGCATCTTCATCAGGAACAAATATGGCATTCTTCATTTTGTTGACAAAACGAGGAGGTACTGCAGAAATCATACAAAAACACATTGCAGCTGAATTACTATCAATGTGTTTTTGATTACTCATTAGAATATCAAGTTTAGTAGAATCTGGGTATTGGGTCACGTACCCTGAACAGTGACTTTTCCGAGAGTACTTGCATTTCCAGCTGGGCTTGTGGCAAAGCACATGTACTGGCCAGAATCTTCTGCAGTCATATTGTCCAAGATCAGCGTACAGGAGCCATCAGGGTCCTCAATAATGATATGATGAGGATCTGCCTCTACTGAGCGTCCATCTACAACCAACAAGTAACCAAATAAATTACTTGACAGAACAGTAACTCACAGGCCCATTTGTGGACATAGTGTAAAGCAGGGTGGATGAGTAAATCTATATCTTACCCTTGTACCAGGTGACTACAGGTTTGGGCACCCCTGTGACTTTGCAGGCCAATTTAACAGTCTGGCCCAACTCTGCTGTGCAGTTTGCCAGAATTTCTTCAAAATCAGGAGGGCCTAAAAAAGGAAACCACAAAGAGTAATGTTTAGATTATGAGAACAAATTAAAGATAAAAAGAGATGGTGTGTATGTTGCACTTACTCCATGCAGCCATGATGTAGCGCTGCTGCAGTTCTCTGAGATCTCGCAGCCACGAGTTCTTGATGGTAACAGTTCGAGCCTGTAAAGTGTATTTTCTCACAGAGTCCTCCCGTTCATGCCAGATCTCAAAGGCACGGTCATCGCCTTCCACTGTTTCATTCACGTCAATGTTATTCAACTGTATGAAACAAAGAATGCAGCAAACATAGGGTATTAGAGCTGATGACTATGAAAAGAAATATACAGTAGTCCCTCGTTTATCGCGGGGGATCCGTACCCTGAAGACCCGCAATAAGTGAACACCCATGAAGTAGGAATAGTAGTACAAGTAGTAAGTAGTTTATTTTAGTATTTACATATATTAAGGTGTTTTAAACCCTTCCCACACTTGCAATATTCTAAACAATGTTTCTAAACACTCTAAAAGAGCACAACATGTCATGAACTCAGCTCTCTGCCACGGCTGCCCTTGGCCACACCCACTTCTCTACTGCAGAACGGAGATCGACAGAGGGAGGAGGAGCTGCAGGAGGAAGCTTATTCTGCAGCTGTGGGCTGCACAAAGGTGCAGCAGGTGCTAAATAATTTAAAAATATATATATATTTTAAATAAAAATTCCATGCCGATCGTGTGGCTCATCCATCAATCAGCCGATTGTGTGTCATGTCTAATCTTATTTTGGAAAAACCGCGATGCGCAAAAAACAAACCGCGAAGTAGCGAGGGACTACTGTACTAGTCATAAGTGATAGTATCAAATTGGTTACCTTCATCATGTTCTTAAAAACATAAGTTTGTGTATCAGTGTGGATATCTCTTTTGGGTTTGCAGATTATGCAGTAGTTCTTGAAGAGGAAGGCATGGCGATGGTGACCCCTAGAGGATGTTCTAACTCCAGGAGCACCCTCCCACACTTGGAAAGGTCCCTGGTGCAGAAGGAATCCATTGGAGACACAATTAGACAATCAATAAAGTGCCTCACTTTTCTATTGCTAAGTAATACACAGATGCTTCGAGTTACGTTACCTGTCTGATAGGTTCTCCAAGAACTTCCAGGGTAGCAGGATAGTTTTCGATCAATGAGACATGGTGGGTGTTCTCAGAACGCTGCGGGAGTGCGGACACCATTGCATACGCTTCTTCCAGAAGGCAACAATTCTGACCATTTTTAGCCTTGTTTCGAATGAGCTCCTGAAAACAGGGCAGAAATTCTACAAAACTGCAACAGTGATACAGACCTAACAGCTATCGCTTGAAGTCATGTACTGTATCATTTATAGTGAATTTAAAAAAACCTAAACTAACAAGACTCCACATATTTGCTCTCAAATCTGTCACCTTGAGGGTGGCCTTGTACTTCTGAATCCTCTCCAGTGGTTGTTGGAGGTAGGCGTTGATGCTTCGAACGGGAGAATCTGTAGCTTTTGTGTTAGTCTGTTCTTTCTCAGTGTACTCCTGTAAAATTATTTTAGGAGTTAGAGAGATCTTATTATTACATAAATTAATTTACAGTTACCTAAATGATTAGACAAAGCAATAACTACACAGATGTTTAGTCTGAAATCAACTTTGTGAATTTCAATGAATTACAATTAGCACAGCGATATTACCTTAAAGAAGTGATGGACAGTCTTGTCACTGACAGCAGAGTCGGCCTGGCTCTGGCCTACAAGGTACTGAAGGTATTGTTCAAAGCCCTCTTTATTTTTCAGGAAACACATGGCAATATCATCATCTGTGTCACAGTCATGCAACTTTGGGAGGAATGCCCTAAGGAGAAAGTGTGGATTATTGACTATAATAAATTTCCAGCCTACTAAATCTGATAAGATTTGAAAGAACATTTTTTAACAACTATATTTTACAAAATATTTAGCAACAATTAGTGATAACAAAGAGGTGAGCTCACTTGCTATGGAAGGATTTGATGTCGCTGATATTTCTGAAAATGGTCTCTTTCTGGTTGGAGACATCAGGAGGTGCATCAGAGGCTTCAGCATGCTTCAGGTGGTGGGAGGTGAAGAAGTCCACTTCTGTCACAAACTCAGATTCTCCATTTATCAAGTCCTGTACCAGTTGCCTAAAAGCATTTAATTTAAGTTAGATACAGTGAGTCTTTTTGCACTGATCGATTTGTGACTTATCAGATGATCTGTGTTTTGAACCTGTACGCTCCACACTGGTTTCTCGTCATATTTATTATCTGCATCGTTTTTATGTCTATGTTTTTGAGTTACTTCATTTTTTATATTGCTTCTTGTGTTGTCTGTTGTTCTGTCTGTACAGCACTTTGGTTGGCCTTGTAGCTGTTTTAAGTGCTCTATAAATAAAATGGTATGGTATCAATTAGGCTTTACTCACAATAACCTTCTCTTGTACTCTCCCTCGGTCACCTCTTCACTTGTTTCTGGAATCTCACCCGTATCAGCTGAGAGCTACAAAACACATTTTTTAACAGATGTAAAAATAACTACTGCTAAAGAATGAAAATAAACAACATCCAGATGCCTGAAGACATACTTTGAGTTTTTTGTCCAGGTATGCAGGTGACACCCAGCCTTGTCGTGATGGGGTTGTTTTGGTGGGTTTGGTCTGGACTAACCACTTGAGTGGATGAGCTGAGTCCAAAACCTCAACATACTGTCCCTCCTTCAGAGAAATAGAATCTTTGCTCGCAATGGTGGGGTTGTAGTCAGCTGACACCACGTAGATGTCAAACATCTAAAAAAAATTGCACAATATTAACATCACACATGCAATTTTATATTAGAGCTATATGATTATATAGAACAGGGGTGCCCAAAGTGGGGCCTGCGGGCCAAATTTGGCCCTCCAAGCTATCCTCATTACCATATTAAAATTTCCTTTCAAGTGTCAATGTGTCAGCTCATTCATTCTGACTTTAATGTTAAATGAAAAGTCAGCCCAATGACTACCGTAATGACACAGAGTGAATGCCTCAGGTCATGACATGTACCAAACCTCTTGCTCAGGGTTTCAATTTTCCGACCATAACTCCACCCACTCTGTCATCATGTGACCAGAAGTCTAACTTGAAATGATCAATGAAGGATACTCTCAAGGACCCATTCCCCAAGATAGACATGAATTAATTTCTTCAGATCCTTACTGTATTTTGTGCCTCATGCACAGACCTGTTCATCTGCAGCGATTGAACGAATAAAACCTATATTGAATATGTAAACTGAAAATAATTACATAAACACTCATTTTGAGCTTCCTAATATCACAGCAGAGCTGTTGCTTTGCATTTCCGCTTCTAGTCTTAAAAAAACCTGTGCCCCTAAAAATTAAGTCATTGGCAACAATTTTCTGAAATAACACAAAAATATAATTAAACATTTTGCACTATGCATAAGTTCCTGCGCTTTTGAGAACAATCTGATGTGTGAATCACTGCAGGAGTTATCTGAACTGCGTAAGAGATGATGATCTCGGCTCATAAAGCTATTTTGTCTGTAGTCAGGGTGTTTTATGTGATTAAGAAGCGACCAGGATGCTTTTCTGAATTGGGCAAAAGGATTGAGAGCAACTCTTTTCTAAGCCATGCAGTGACAAAGCGTTAAATATTAGGCAGTTTTTTCTAAGTGTGGCCAAAAACTTAGAGCAGCGCTTGTTGTCCCACAGTGCGGAGCAGGGAGGAGGATGAGGAGGCACACTCGACCGTGGTCTGGGATACTAAACAACTAGGGTAAGAAATGATCCCGCACTAATACACATATAAATCACACAAAGTGTTTAAAAATAGCCTAAATTGTAAATTTGAGATGGCTTCAGTGGCGATTTTAGCCTCTTTTGTGGGATGCTCAAGCACTCGTAAATTTTAACACAGCACCCCTGTAAAATTAAGAATCCATGATTAGGATTTTGTAAGGAAGCTCATTTCTCAAACCATAGATTCACCAAAATATTGAATATGGAATAAATGACAACAGTCTCAAACGGGCCAGTAAAATCTATAGTTTTTTTGCACGAGTCCTGCCACCTGTCAGTCAATCCAGAGGCATGTCAGCAACTGACCAATCAGCAACCTCAATTTGTCCTGAAGTGAATGCCCCTTACCTGCAGAGCTGCAGCTTTGCAGTCAGAGATTTCAATAATAACAGAGTTTACATATTTTGTTTCATGTTATTCTATGTAATAAACCATTGTAAAATACACCAGAATGCAGGAAATGGCATCTACTTTATTCAAAATTCTCTGGGGGAGGCCCCCCCACTACCATCAATGCAGCCTGTTCTTTAATGTTCTTTATACAGAATGGAAGGTTAAAAAACTGTATAATAAATAAATGGACTTTACTTAAAGAAGTATTTGCATTTCATGTATTATATTATTGCATTTGGCCCACAGCCCTCTGATAAGATTTTAAATTTGGCCCTCTCGGGCAAAAAGTTTGGGCACCCGTGATATAGAATGTCAGACATTATCAACTCAAACAGTTAAGTTTCCATTTCTCCTTAACTTCTTCCAAATATAAACCTTGTTTTAAGATGCTTTCTCCTTTTTTTCCTGGACATTTTCAAACACACCAAACCACATGTCTTACTTCTCCTCTGGCGTCTCCTTCATCAGACTCTGAGGAAGAATCTGCGATGAGGGAGGGAGGACGGGAGCGGCCATGATGAGGTGTTGGAGAAGGAGTTTTGGTCTCGTCATCACTGTCACCGCCTGGTACACGTAATGAAGCTGGAGCAGCAGGAATGAAAAAAGCGGCAAGAAGATGGATCAAGCATGGAAATAACCAAGCAATTTCTTATTAGTTATCTATTAAAATGTAGTTATTTAAAAAAAGTTATTTTAAAGATCGCTGCACTAACAACTTACAGGAGATACAACTTACTGTTTATATTTAATTTAATGGTGGTGCCTCCACTTAGCAGGGAATTATGACTTTACACTTTGTTTAACCCACTAAGAATTTAATTTGATTCACATATAAAATCAAACAAAACATTGTTTGTAAATAACAAAAAAATCGTAAGGATTTTCAAACATAAAACTCTACCCCAAAATAACCCGTTGCAGGCCTGAATCGATGCTTGGGTGTGTAGGAGCTAAAAACAAACCGCTCGTTTGCTCCTGAGCAAATAAAATAAAAAGCGCGTGCATTAGTTTCGTTTTCTACTCACAAATCCTTCAAAGTTTGAGAATGAATCGGAAAAAGTTAGATGTGGAGATCCCTTTAATATGGCACTGAGTAAAGTAAGTAGGCAGGTGATGTTACACGAATACCGAGATTGTTCCTGGCAGCAACCTCACATATAGGAATCCAATGGCTGAATGTGGAACTTCTAAGTTGTCCAGCAGGTCCAAAGATTAGCTTCTAGTCCACTTTCATATGCTTCTTAAAGTCTGTTACAGTCAGCAATTCTGCATTAACTGTTCTGGACAGCTTTACTCTGTTATTGTCCCGCATCTGCGTCGCTGTGCACTCTTCATTTGTCTGGTTTTTCACACAGACCCACGTTTCATGCAGCGTACCATTAATCCCACCCACTCCCATCTAATTGGGCAAAACAAAATGCTTAATACAAAACAAAATTGAACAAGACTGACACTTAGCACAACTCAAAGAGTAGGTTGTAATCTGCTATGTGGCACCATTCCTCAAACAAACCTTCAAGGAACATGGTAAAAATAACAACAGCCTGTTTTAGTCTGCTTGACCTAGATTTTCTTGACCAAATATGAACTGTTTTTAAAATGATAAATTTTTAAATGACAAGAGTTTTTTATCTTTCATATTTATTCCAATTTTATCACTTAGACATTTTTTTAAACACAAATTATATCACTATGAACTTAGTTTAATACTTTAGTTTGTACTACACAGTATAGCACAGTTAAAACTGGGTTACAAGTGTATACAGTTTCTTAAGAATTTGATTAAAAGCCTTTTTATATTTTTTGTGATCTACGAAAGAAGAAAATTTGAAAACCTGCAAGTCATTTCATTCTTAAGCCTTACTATGTTCTACTTCCATGTTAGTGGCAAGATGCAAGTACAAAAAGCGCTGATTTTTAAGCTTGTTGCATACATGTTTGACTTTGAGCATGTATTCCTGCAATAAGCTGAGTGAGACTTTGTATGTCATCGCAAAACCACTTGGAAAATTATATATATATATATATTTTTTTTTTATTATTATTATTATTTTAAACAATAAAACACTCACTGATGATGAGGTAGTGAGACATAATGTAATGAAAGGAAAATGTTTTACCGGTAAATGGTGAATCCATCTCAATAAAAAAAAAAAAATCCTTACATACAAAATTGTTTCATTGGGTTTACTAATGTTACAAAAATTATAAAATAAAATAAAAGTATTCTGTAGAAATTATGGTGCTGATGTGCTTGGGATACATACTGGAAGATTTGGGCCATGTTTTCATCCACTGGAGCACTTCATCATTCTGTAAACTGTCTGAATAACAAATTAATGATTGGATGAGAATCTAATTGGTTGGATTGATAAAATGAAGAGTGTGAAAGTGGTTAGGAAATGATGTCTGTAAAAAATAATGAGAGGTTTTAATTTAATTATTCATTGGTAAACCAAACCAAAATGAAAAATAACACTTAAAATGTAAGGTAAAAAACACTTCGTTTATGTGGTGTGAATTCCTAATAAACTGGAAAGCAATTCTCAGCTCAGTAATGTTAGTAAGACATTCAGCTTGAACATAATTAAAAGCAAAATTATATGAGCTTATAGATTTTCGACTTTAGCGACTTTGTAGGAGCAGCTAGCAAGGCCAGTCATAGCTGAGGAAAAAGGGAAAAGCAGCCAGGAGCTGAAGTTTTTGTTATGTAGCACTTACCTTGGGTGATCTTTGCTGATACCATTTCAGTGATCTGAGAAGTGAGCTTCATGAGGAATTCCTCTGTACCGACTTCACCTAAGTAGGGGATTTTACCCTCTTACAGTGTTCACACAAACAAAAGAACAGCATACATATTAGTGTATTTTTATTGGGGGAAAAAGCGTAAAAAAATAAGAAAGAATTTAAACTTGAGTGATGGTGACATATGTTTG